TCTATAAATTTACATCAAAACAAATGAACGAATCGTAGAGAGATTGATTGCCCCGCTGGCAGAGTCGAACCCCTGGCTTTAGAGAACAAGACTAAGGCTAATCGCGATTGCTTGCCATCGAAATTATTACATATTTACACAGGAGAAAACGCCTAAAAGAAATCACAAGCGGCTCGTGGTTGCTCATTTTTGCCCTCATTCGCCTCATATTCAGCCATGCGGCGCTCCAATTCTGGACGAAAATGACGAATCAGCCCCTTAAACATTAAAATCATTAACTTTGTAACCAATTATCATCGTTCACAAACAACCAAAACTGATAAAAAACAAATTTTCAGGATTTCCACGGCGATAATCCGAGCTGTTCTAATATTCCTGATAATAAAAAAGGTTAATATTTTTTCTAAAATTTCCACTGACCTGTACGGGCCATGCTGCTGCATCACCAAGTGCACAGATGGTGTGCGATTCGATCTGTTTGCTGATTTCCCACAACGCATCGATTTCGGCTGGTTTCGCTCGCCCTTTCACGAAACGCCACATCACTTTATTCAGCCACTGAGTCCCCTCACGACATGGTGTACACTGATAATGTGTAAATTCATAAAAAAACCACTTCAGTGATTTAGTAATCTCTCCAGAAAAGGTGAAACAGAAGAATGGAAGAATTTCGCTTGAATGTCATGTGTTTGAAGACATTTTATGACGCAGTCTGTGTTTCATCCCTTAGCTATATACACAGACCGAACAGTGAATGTGGGTAGGAGTGGGAATCATCAGTACAGCCTTCTACCTGCCATGTTTTGAATAGTCATGTGTCTAAAAAAACAGAATCTTAAACTTGGTTACAAGAAAACGAAAACCAAACCGCTTCGCTGGACGAGATGGTGATGCTCAGCATCCATCGGGAGGTTCGGGGGGAGAGGGACACTCCCCCTGCCAGGTAGTTCCACAGGGGGAGCTGGGGGAAGGGGGAGGGGTTGGGTCTTTCGGGCACCAGTACTGCAAAAAGCCCAGGCCTGTTCATAAATAAAACTAAAGTAACTCAAAATAGCGACCATAACACCGTTACTTGGATTTGTAACGCTCTCTTCCCTGTTTTTGCATAGTTCCAGAGTGGAGAGGGCTCCCCTCCCTACCCTTTCGTCCTCTCTCCTACTCTCCTCCCCCGCCCCTTTCTCTCAGGAGTCCGTCTTAGATCCATACACCTATATGTACTTCTGTCGGAAAAATCGCTGAGCTCAAAACTTTTTCAGAAGACAAAACAGATGTGAGAATTTACAACAGATTGACCAAAAAATGATACAGTATTGGTCAAAGTGACTGGATAAGTTCCCAGTTCACTAGTAATTTAGCACCAATAATTCATAAATTATTGTTGAAAAATGTATTTTAAGTATTACGAAGTTTATGAATAGTCCGATTTGTATGTTTACAGCTAAGAGATGAAAACACACACAGAGACTGCATCGTAAAATGTCTTTTTGTACATGACACTTAAGTCGAATCCTTCTACTCCACTATTTATGAAGACGGACTTACTTGTCCGCAACTTTCATGGCGATAGAAATATGAAAGCCTAGCGATGCATTTCACGATGTCGCACTGCTTATTCATGACGATCACTGCCGCTGTACCGAGACCCGTCTGTGCTGCGATCAGAGCATCAAAATCCATGAGAACTGTTTCACATACACTGCAAAAATCGTTGCTAAAAATTTCCAAAATTTCCTATTTTGGCTGTAGATTTCTTCAAATTAAGCTAAAAATTTGCCAAAAAACGAAAATTTTTTTCTCGGAATGTCAAGCCATGTTTACCTCCTCCACGCGCATTCGTACTAGTCACTTTTGTGAAAAACTACAATCCTCAAAACAGAGATTAAACATAACCCCCTCAACTCCCACCACAACAAAAAAGTACTGGTACCGGACAGTTTTTTTGTGAAACTAAGTAAAAAATAGGTTTCCAGGGTAACGTAGAACAGCAATGGGCATTTTGCCAAATAAGCAACGAAATTAACACTTTTATCACGCGCCAAGGAAAGAATTTTTTAAAAGTCTCTCCACCCTTATTCTCAAACATAATAAAAGGAATATAATAATGCTATTCACTTCCTAGATACCCTACTCCTCCCCCCCCTCCCCTCCCCTCCCTCCCCTGTCTCGCCGCTCACTCAAAAACCGATGCATATACTTCGGACATGTGGTAGTTACTAAATCAACGTGTTTCTTCGTGTGCAGTCGTGCTGCTGCGTTTCGTCCCTCGCCCAGCCATGCAGAATTTCGACTGTATTTTTAATGTATTTTATTTTTTGATCAAGTTGTGTTGGTTCGCCCAGAGTCTTCGACAGGAACAGCCAGCATCAGCGTCGTCCGGCTTCGTCCGTCTTCACGCCAAATTCATCGTCATCCAAGCCATGCGCAATATTTCGATACGCCGAATGCGGCTTAGCAAAGCTACATTCCGTGTGTTGAAACATCCCAGTGACGTACGTCATTAACACGTGCTATCCGTAATAATTCTGCTAGTGGCCGAAGCAATTAACTTCCACTCTAAGCTATGACATTCTCACAAACAGATCAAAGACCAAACATCATCGATCGTCCCTAAATCTTGATCTAGTAAGAAATTTACAAAGACAATCACGCAAAACTAACTCTTTTGGGATCAGTGGAACTGATGAGCCCCCTGGTATGATAGCTAATAGATTGTCCCAACCGCCAATAACACCCCCACAATGGCGTTCGATGAGCTCTTTCAGTGGAACTGACATTTCCTCTTCCACAGTGCATGGATTCACAACATGTCCCGAGATGCAATAAAGCTGAAATATACACAGTGCTGTTTTTGTATTCAAAATATGTGACATGACACTGTTATTTTACAGCAGTTCGATGGAGACAACTAATCCTATCTGCATGCACAGTTCGGTCAGTGTTTATAGCTTAGGGATGAAACACAGAGGTTGCTTCGTAAAATGTCTTCTTATACATGACGTTTAAGTCCAATCTCTCTATTCCTATTTTATTAATTTTGTCGGAAAATTGGAAACTGGTACATTGAGTGTTTGTCATGTCTGCGTTTCGGAGAATTTTACCATCACAAATGAATATAGAATATCCCTGCAAATTTCCTACCCACACGCAAATTTTGGTCAGTGTTTGGAGCTTAGGGATGAAACACAGACAGACTGCTGCATCGCGTAAAATGTCTTCTTACACGTGACACTCATATCCAATTCCTCCATCCTGCTATTTCATTAGTTTTGACGGCAAATTGGTACTGGTATATTCTCGAGGAGTCTAACTTGCCATTTGTTTACTTGCAAACAACTCTTGGAGGGGAGGCGGGGGG